TTTTTGGAACAGTTTGAGGAGACTAGGTGCTAGCTATTCTTTGACTGTTTGATAAAACTCCCCTGTAAAGCCATCCAGACCAGGGTGCTTGTTTGCTAGGAGTTTATTGATTACTGTGTCTATACCCTTAGTTGTTATAGGTCTGTTCAGGTTTTCTGACTCTTCCCTGTTGAGTTTTAGAAGACTGTATGATTCTATGAATTTGTTCATTTTGCCTAGGTTGTCCAATTTGTTGGTATATAATTGTTCACTGTATTTTCTTACAATCTTTTGTATTTCTGTGGTGTCACTGTTACTTCACCTCTTTCATCTCTGATTTTATTAACTTGGGTTCTCTCTCTTTGTTTCTTGGAGTCTGGCTAAAAGCTGATTAATCTTGTTTATCTTTTCAAAGAACCAGCTCTTGGTTTCATTGATCTTTTGTATTGTTTTTTTTTAGTTTCTTTTTTTTTTTTTTTAACTCTCATTTATTTCTTCTCTGATCTTTATTGTTTCCTTCCTTCTACTAGCTCTGGGATTTTCTTTTTGCTCTCTTTCTAGTTCCTTAAGTTGTAGGTTTAGATAATCTACTAGAAATGTTTCTTATTTCTTGAGGTAGGCCTATATTGCTATGAACTTCTCTCTCAGGACTGCTTTCTCTGTGTCCCATAGATTTTGTGTTGTTGTGTGTTCATTTTCATTAGTTTCCAGGAAGTTTTTTATTTCTTCCTTGATCTCATTGGTAACCCATTCATTGTTTAATAACATGCTATTTAACCTCCATGTGTTTGAATGTTTTTATTATAATTGATTTCTAGTTTCATGCCATTGTGATCTGAGAAGAATCTTGATATCAGATAAGATTGCTATGCCTCCAGTCTTGGTGTGGTGGCTTTCTTGTGGGACCCAGTAGAGTAGCCTGCTAGATCTTCTGAGCTGGGTGCTCTAGAGATGTCCCTTGTGTGGGTTATGTGGGCTCTTCTGTTGAATTTGGATTTGGGTCTTGACTGCTATTGTCTGTTTGTGGGTGGGCTCAGTTCTCAGGGTTGTTCATTGTGAGTCTTAACTCCTATCCTGTCAACCCTGTCATGCCAACTGTAATACAGAATAAAACAAGGCAAAACCAGACCAAACCAAAAAATTCCCCTCAAAAATATCAGTATCAATAACAGCAATCACCTCAACAAAAATATTAAAAGACACAAAACCAAACAAAAAGCACATTCACACACACAAAGAATACTAGGAGATGTGAGACCAAATGAATTAGAAGTGGGAGGGGAAAAAAAAAAGGGAAGTCAAGGCAAAACCAGACCAAATCACAAAGAACCTGAAAAAAATACCAGCATCAACAGTGATAAAAGTACTATCCTGAACAAAAAGATTAAAAGACAAACAAACAAACTGAAAACACACATACACAAAGAATGCTAGAAAGTGTGAGACCAAAAGAATTGGAAGAGGGAGAAAAAAATATATATATATGAAAGTAAAGAAATCAAGGCAGAAGCAGACCAAACTAAAATGCACCTGAAAAAAAATATCAGCATCAACAGTGATAAAAGCACCAGCCTCAACAAAAAGATTAAAAGACTAACGAACAGAAAACACACACGCACGCGCGCGCGCACACACACACACACACACACAAAATATAGAAGGCATGAGACCAAAAGAGCTAGGAGTTGGAGAAAAAAATATGAAAGCAAGGAAGGCAGAGACTAGAAATAGGGTAAGTATAAAAAATAAAAGGTAGAAAATGATGATGGAAATAATAATTTTAGAAAGTAATGGTAAATTGAATAAAATATAGAAGAGCAAAATAAAAAATGGGGAAAGAAAAAATTGAGTTAAAAAACAAACAAACAAACAAAAAACACACACACCAAAACCACCATCACCACTACTATCACAACAAAAAACCTTGGATCAGCTATTTATGGAGCTCATTGAATTTTGCTCTGATGTTGGATTTGGCCCCTTGAGTGTGGGTCCCTGTCGTCCTGAGCAGTTCTCTGGTGCAGGCCAATGTGAATCACTGTTTTTGGCCTGGCCCTGGGACTCCTGGCTGGAGCCACTATCTGAGACTGGGATCCCAGGTAGGCAGGTGCGTGGGGCATTCCTAGCCCACATGCTGGGTGCCTTCAGGGCTAGTCACTTGTATGTATTTGCTCTGGGAAGCTTTCCCTTCCTCCAAGGCACTGGGCTCTAAGGATTATCAGGACCAGTCAGGGTGGTTTAAGCAGATTTGTGTTGGGGGTGGTGCCCTACAGAAGGGGAAGGCAGTTTCTTCCTCTCTTTCCAATGCCTCAGCTCTGTCTGGGTTGCTAGCACCCCCTGGTTGCCACCCCAAGCAGGGGAGAGTAAAAAATAAAGGAGAAAAAAAGAAAAAAAAAACAATGCCCTGCTTGGCTCTTTAATCTTTCAGCATAGTCAGCTCTTGCTGTGCAGGACTTCTGCTCTCTGCCCCGCCCCCACCCCCACCCCCCAACGTCTGAGTCCCCAACACCGGCCCTGCCACTGCAGTGCTGATTTTCAGTCCAGCGCTGTTCCGCTGGTGGGAGAAGGGACGCCTCCTCCTCACTCAAAGTGGGGCGGCACACGCCTCTCTCCTCAGGCACTCTGGCTAGCCCTCCCCAATGCTTTCAGTGCATATCTGGCCCCTCAGCTTCACTGCTGTGTGACCCACTGGGACCCCTCCTCTGGTGTGTTCTGCTTCCTGGGCTTTCTAGCTCCCTCCATCAGGGGAGCTTTCCAGGCTGGTGGCGGAGCGGCGCACTGGCTTTTAGCGTGGGGTAGTGCTAAGTCCCCCGTGGGCCGAATCACCTCCGACTCCCACCGCCGGATGACGTGCTCCCCTTCCTTCTCTGTTGCTCTCACTCAGGACTTCGTGTGGGGCTGAGTCCCTCCTCTGCGGGCAGGAGCTGCAGGGCCATCTTCCCGGCCACGCCCGCAGCTGTGAGAGTTCACCCGCCCACTTCGCATCTTCCCTGCTCCTTGCTCACAGTATTTCCAAAAAGCTATTTTCAGGTGGTTTTTCAATTTGAATGTTCTGCAGTTTAGCCTCAAGTCCAGTCCTGTGCTTGGAGGAAGCGGACAGAACTTTCTCAGGCTTCAGCCATCTTGCCTCCCTATTATGATTATAGTACCCAGGTTCCACTCTACTTTCTAACTGAGGCAAATGGAATCCTCTGTCTTTTTTCTGATACAGAGAGGGGGCAAAACAGTTGCCAGTTCTGGCAGGAAAACTGCATACTGTGGTTGTTGACTAGTACTAAGCAATGACTAAGTAATACACATCCCCCAAAGTTATAAATCAGTTTGCTACTAAAATAGTTTCCACATTTCAGAACTATAGATATATCCGCTATAAAATAATCTCTCAATTATCCTGCCTACATTTAGAAAGATCTTTATTAGCAAAAAATGTCTTCCAACAGCATATTTGTGTTAACAGAAAAATCCAGCAGATGAATGTGTTCCATGATGTCAGAAATACCTTTAATGAAATCATTAACTACTATAAAATATTAGATTATGTGAAAAAATAAAAAACATATTGTTGAATGAGAAGAGTGATTCTGAATTAGAAGCCACAATAAGTGGTACCGTATTAAAAGAAGAAGCAAGAAAATAAAAAGTATCACTGCTTTAAAGTCCCTGTGCCTCTGCATGCCTCTCACGGGCAGAGGCCTGCACTCCCCAGGAGCTGCTATGGACAGGTGGACACTCACTCTTCGTACACAATACAGCCGTCAAGCCCACTTCACAGCTAACATGAAGTATACTAGCTATAAACAGAATTCCAAAAGCAAGCCAAACTAATAGGGACAACATTTTCAGGTTGTAATATAATTTTGGATTGACTGTATATTTCTTTAAAATCACGGGTACTTAGTCATAAAGATGCTTCATCTTGGCAGTGTTTATTAACTGAGCTTATGCTTAGTATCTTCAAGCACACTGAACCCTAATGAAACAGCAATGCCACTTAGGGAAAGAAAACAGAACTTTATACTTACATAATGTTTCAAGGCCTTTCATGTTAGAAACAAGCAGTTTTGTGACAAGGAAGCAATTACAAGATGAAGGTGATAATTTGTCACAGATGTCACCATTATACAATATGGTTTGCTAGAAATCAGAGTGGAAAGCAGAAATGTGCAAACAAGATTTTTCTTTTGCAAGGTGATTCTGGGCTTTGAATTATTCTTGTAAAATTAATAACACTTCAGCATGTTTCTGGATAGTTCCTTTTTCAAATACACTAATATGTGTGCTATTTGTTTATGTGTACACATGTGTATGAATAAATAAACCTGAAGCTGTAATAAAATTTGTAATTTTTTTTACATAAAATTATCAAAATAAACATTTAAGTGGATGTTGGGTGTAGTATTGGCAATGGAATCACCTTGTCCCCATCGGCCCTTCAACAGACAAGGCTCTAGGAGAAGTAAGTGTGGGGTAGTTAGTAGTATGGGCTACAAACAAGGAAGCAGAAGAATGAGGTTCTATCCTTGACCTACAAAAATGTACTAACGACCCTTAGATGCCAATTCTATTTAACTATAAAATGGAGGTAGCATTACTGCCTTCCTACCAACCAGAACCATTTGTTGTTGGAGTGGAATAATAAATGTAAAAATATTTTTAAGCTATAAAGAACTATAGTATAAGTAATAAGACATTTTCAAGACAGTTTTGCTGCTCTGAGAAATACCTAAAATGAAGTGATAGTTTAGTTTTATATATAATTTTCTGTCTATTCCAAAAAGGGGGAAAAAGTGTTTTTGCTTTCATAAAGATATCTTTTATATTTCTAAGAATACATAACAAAACATTGTAGTGCATGGGGTCAACTTAGTGTAAAACTATAGTATCTCATTTCCTGAGTTAAAATATAAAAAAGTGCTCTGTAAATTCTAAAGGGATATATATGCGTGTGTGTGTGTGTATATATATATTTGAGCAATCTTTGCCACTTTTATGAAAAACCATGCTTTGAGATGGGTGCTTACCTTCTCTTAGACGGTCTACTACAAAAGTAAAGCCAGTAGTTCTTGGATGTAAGACATATTCATATTTCTGAAGTCCATTCTTTTCAGCAAAATCATTACTTCGAGCCTTGCTGTTTTCTAAACAAAACAATAGACCATTAAAAGCCATAAAATAAAGGAAGATAATGTGAAGTAAGGAAACAGTACATAATTTCTTAAATAAAAATGGCAATTAAATTCCCTGTAATTACTGAGTATAGTATACTGAATCAAATGAGAAGATATAAACACTTTAGTAAATCCCTAACACAGATCCTAGAGTTATGTATTTATTGGAATTTTAAAAATTTTATAAGGCATTAATAGACTTTTTATAATGGTTCATAAATTCATATTCAAATCTTTAAAATTCTTTAAGAGATTTCATAAAAGTCTATATTCAGTGAAAACTAAAATACAAATAAAATCCTGATAAACTAAAATTTCCATAAAATAGTCTACATAATAAAAACTGAAATACTAAAATATAAGATGCTAATAAAATAAAACTAAAATAGTAGTAAAATATAAGGCGATTAGACATCTAGAAAAAATAATTAGCAATATGCCAAACATATCAGATAAAGATTTTTTTTAAACCAATAATTTAGGGCTTTAATGCAAAGTGAAATGTCTTCCTTGCTCAGGCACAGAGCATGCTAATATTACTAACCAAAACCATTCCACAACAGAATGGGCACATGATTAGCACATCATGTACGAACATCTGAACATGGTTTGGCTGAGTATAGTTACAGAGTCAAGTATATGTTCCAGTTGTTGGCAAAAACTTCTTTTTCCATTCCATGAGGTAACTTTATAAGTTCCAAGAAGAACCAAACCCATTATTCAGCAAATATATTTGGAAAAAGTAGGGTGTTCAGAAATCTGGCCTCAACCCCTGGGGAGATCATGAAATAGCTTCTGATGACAGCAGATGTTAGAACCTGCAACCTTCAGCTGCATCCTGAAATCTAGACTATTCCAAGGCACAAGAAAAAGACCTACATATATATCAACACAACTTTCCTAGGAGTAAATTTAAAACCATGGAGTCCTCAAAACCTAAAAAAACACAGATGGACTCAAAATATTCAAAGAACACTCCTATAAAAGGTGTGTGTGTGTGTGTGTGTGTGTGTGTGTGTTTTGAAATAAATGAGGAGTTGAGTCAAAAGAACTAAATACCCACAGATCCCCAGCAAGTCAAAAGTAAAGGTCCTAAACATGAGAAGTAATAAGCTCCTTTCGCATTCTTTTGAGGAGAATATCCCAGGCATTGGAGTACAAAACATTGTTTTATCCACAGCTAGCAGGACCTTACATGGGATGAGGAAGCCTAGAAACACTAAAAACTGTGTAGTTAACTACTCTTCAGTTTGCTCTTGTATCTCGTTATAGATTTTAGGGAACTGAAGACCAAACTGAACTCTGCTGTAGAATGTGCATACAAGTCTAAGTAGTTCTAAAACATATAGTCACAATGTGGGAAGGTAGAAATAATCAGAGAGACAGAGATTAGAGATGCAGATTTTCCCTCCATCCCTACTTCATCTACCCCGCCCAGACTCTGTGGTTACTGGTAACTGCACAAGCATCCCACTTTCTGACCACAGTCTCCTGTCCGGTCTGCTCACTCCCTCGAACACTCCAATGCCAGCACTCCCTCCACACCAATGGGCCGGCCAGCCGACTGGCCACTTTGCTGCTCTCAAACCGCCCAGGCATGTCCCCTCCTCAGGGTCTACGCATTTGTTCTTCCCTCTTCCCAGAATGCCTTCTACCCCAATAGCTGAATGGCTTTGTTCATTTAGTCTCTACTTAAATAGAAACATAAGGGGCTTTCTCTGACCACCTTACATAAAATAGCACCTATGCCCCATCTTCTATTACTCTCTCCCTATCTTTATTTTACTGCACAGCATTTATAAATGCCTGACATATTTTTATTAACTTACTCATTTTAATCTAGTTTTCCTCATAGAATTTAAGCTTCATGTAAGTAGGGGCTTTGTTTTGTATATAAAGCTCCAGGTTCTCATATATTAAATGAAGACGTTTCACGTACAAGGGTGTTTAATTGTTAAAATCTTTCCAAATCAGAGAAACAGAACCCAAAATTATGGTATACTAATTATGATGGTTAATTTTATATGTCAAATTGGCCAAACATTATTCCAGATGTTTCTATAAAGGTATTTTTTATAAGATTAACATTTAAATCAGTAGACTTTGCCCTGACTGGTTTGCTCAGTGGTTAGAGTGTCAGCCCACAGACCAGAGGGTCTGAGGTTCAATTCTCAGTCAAGGGCAGGTACCTGGGTTGCAGGTTCAATTCCTGGCCCTAGCTGGGGTCATGCGGACACAAGGAAGGAGGGATGGGGGGAGAGAGAGAGATAGACATGGATGTGAGAGAGACACAAGGACAACTATACTATTAATTTTCCAATTTTGTTTAGAAGTATATATGTGTTGACATGCCCATACATATGCCTATGTATGTGTGTGAATATGTGTGTGTCACCACATGACACAAAACTAGTGGAGTAAAATCAGAATAGTGTTTCTTTATGTATAGTAGGATTAGAGTAATTCTTGTACGCCTATATTTCTAAATTCCCCCAAATTAACATAAATTACTTCCATAAGCAAGAAAAAAGTTATAACCAACAATAACATATGAAGATAAAATCTATGTAAAATTACATTTAAATGCACAAATTTGAAAATGTACAAGCAAGCTGGATTTAGGACTTAAAGAGGATTACAAAACAGGCTCTTTGGGCTTAAAAACCCAAATTTAGAGTTATCTATGGTTAACTAAAAACACCTTTGAATTAACAGACACATTTTCAAAACTGAAAGTATTTTGGTATTTAAAAAAAAAACAAAAACATTTATCCCAACTTCAAACTATCTGTATAATACTGTTTTTTAAAAAGTTTTTTAAAGTTTCAGGATTGGTCTGTTTTCTCTACTTGGCAAACAATCTGGCTTTTGTGAGTTGGCCTTACAAATGTATGTGCCATTTTAACTTTTAAAATATTCAACTATATCATGCAGTGGTGAGTACTCTGGACCCTGAAAATATGCAATAAGAAGTTAATTAAGTTCATCAACTAAAAAGTAGACTTGAGAAAAAACATAAACTGAAAGAAGTTTTAAATTATATTGTGTAGGCTCTGAAGATCTAATGTAGGAGCATTTTAAATCTAATGTACCAACATAGCAGCAACCCGTGAGCTCTCACTACATTAGCTTTTAATTCCTAAATAACTTCCAAAATTCTCATTCTTTAGTGTGCATTTTGGCATTCACAAATACAATTTATCTATCATTTCAATAAATGACACACTGATATAGCTGCTAGTCCAATGCCCAAATTTAAGCAATATACATTCTAAGTATTATAAAATTTAAATATGGCTCTGTCCACTATAATTTCCCAATGACAGTTTAGCTCTGGCAATTAACTTACAATATATTTTCAAGCATAAACAATATGTAGCCAATATTATCCTCAGATCCAACTACTTTTAGAATTTAACTATAAAAATCAAATATATACTATGTAGTACGCATATATTTTAGTATATAAGACTAGTATATTAAAATTTCCATGGTTCATTAGCTCAGTTCCATTTGTGATAGATGAGTCAAAGATCTCTTCCTTGCTAACAAGGTTTACCAAAATACTTTAATTTCCTGTATTGATATATTTTGGCTTAGTCAGCTATTCATTTAAGTGGTTGTGTAATTTGTATTTTTCATTAAACTCTCTTTTTGGTACTGGTTCCATCCATTAATATGTCCGGAAAGTGAATTAGTATTCACTAATTCTCTCTTAATCTCTAAGGATTGCCCCTCTTAGTAGCTCTTAGTTGCCTCGATCTGGTGTTGAGGAGTCATAAGACAAGTTCATGTTCCATCTCCCCATACTATTTGATTTTTAGATTTCAGTTCTGTCCTACTTCAGTCTGTCTTCCCTTGTACAACAGACCTTCATCCACTGGATCCTTCTCAAATTCTGCTGTATCTTTCTTAAAGTAACTAGGATGTTAAGTTTTTTAATTTTGCTCTCTTGAGAAAGAATTCTATAGAACTGCTTCTTGTCCAAGCTTATACCCACAGCCCCACCCTTGTTCAACCAGAGCAGTTCTTCAATCTGTCTTAAATCCTAAACTATAATGGAAGGCTTCCGCTACAAAAATCACCTTGACTTAAAAACATGTGAAAACTTGCCCGGCTGGTGTGGCTCAGTGGACTCAGCATTGTTCCATGTACTTAGAGATCCCAGTTCGATTCCTGGTCAGGGCACATGTCCGGGTTGCGGGCTTGATCCCCAGTAGGGGACGTGCAGGAGGCAGCTGATCGATGTTTCTCTCTTTCTCCCTTTCTCTCTCTTAAAAAATCATTGAAAACATATATTTTTCAAAACATGTGAAAACTACTGATTTCGCAAAGATGAAAGACTGTATTTTGTTTTTAATCTTTTAAACAATTCATGGAAATCCAATGGCATTCCTGGCCTATGAGTTTGATATCTGGGAAGGCAGGAAGTCCTAATTACGTCTTCCTATGTCCCTTCCACAACTCAATTACAGCTGTTTTCTTGAGAAAGGACAAAACCTTTCCTATTTATATTAGGGATGAGGCTTTAAAATACCAGGAAAAAGGCAATATATTAACTTAAATTAACAATAAATGAAATTGGTTATTATCAGATGCTTTTTTAATAAGAAAGAAATTGAGGGAAAAAATGGGCCAATGGATATATATATTTTGGAAGAGAAGAGAAGATGTAAAGAACAGGAAGGGGGTTCTTCTTTCTCAAGATTGCTTTGGCTATTCAGAGCTTTTGTGGTTCCATACAAATTCTGTAAAAGCTGATATTTAAAATACATTCTGAGATTCAAAATAAAGCTCCAGGATGGCAAGTACAAATAATAATGATCTCTTGGGGTTGCCCATCATAAATTCTGTGGGCTGGAGACCAGGAGTGTTGGGTTCTAATGTGCTACTGGTTAACTGAGTGGCCTTAGGGATGGGACATTAGTCTTGTTGGTATTCAGTTACTTCATCTAAGACAGCGGTCTTCAATCCTTTGGGGGTCGAATCCTTTCACAGGGGTCGCCTAAGACATAACAGTAGCAAAATTACAGTTATGAAGTAGCAACAAAAATAATTTTATGGTTGGAGGTCACCACCACATGAGGAACTGTATTAAAGGGTCATGGCATTAGGAAGGTTGAGAACCATTAAATAAGAAGTTTAGACTAAATGATTAGTTCCTTCACGTTTTAAAATTCTGTGATCCAAACCCAGGCTACCTTACCTGTGAGATCAGTCCCTTCTGGGAATATGAGGAGTTGAAGTGGTTCACGGATATCACAAAAATAACCAATCATGTCTTCAAAATGGCTTTTGTCATCCTTCCACTTCCTATGAATGAAGATATAGGCAGCAGCCTGCATGGCCCAACCTAGGATCAATTTCACAAGCATTTACATACAATGTTATTGCCAATATCCATATTATTGACTATAATATTTGTTTTGTTTTACTATGAATGATTTACAACAAGACTCTCATACCTTAAATTTAGCATGGATCTCGGATTACAAAACACATATAACAGAGAATATGCTTAAAGGAGTTTGCTAAATTCTGGGGTTTACAAAATTATCAAAAACATCTTTTCCAGCCAAACCTACCTATTAAAATATCAAAGAAAAAAGCTTCGCTAATATTTATCAGTAACTCATCCAAAGTTTTAACAATCCTAATTAAACAGACTTTTTAACCAAGCTACCTACAAGAAATATACAACTATGTGTTGTCAGACTTACAAAGCAGTAAGCAAAGGGTTGGTGTCAAGTCAGGTATACAAGCACACTTCAATACACCCCTTCTGTACTACTCAATCTTTATATTCAGCTGCTACATTCAACGTTAGCCATTTCTTTAGATTTCATTTAAAAGAGAAAATATGCAATGGCTATAAACATGTTAATCAGAGAATGCTCTGTGATCACATTCCCTTTCTTAAGGCAAATCGACCTTGTCACCAAAGATGTAGCCCTAAAAGAGCAGTGTTTTATCCAACCAGTCATTCCTCCCCGCCCAGAAATGACTAGAACTACTGTGGTAAAACCTAACTTAAGTCATCAATCTAAAGTCTATTCAAAAGTCTATGGAGCATGAAATTCTTGGCCCAAACACAGTAACTATCTTAGCCAATTAAATGTTCTCAGAAATTTACCTGGGACCATGGAGAAAACAAGTTGGTAATATATATAAAGGCAAATAGATGAACAAACAAAGCAGATAACAGAGACAGTAGCAGCTGAGGCAAGATAAAGATAGTATACTATAGTGAAGATCTAAAAAAAAATCTTGCAGCTGAAGTGCCTAAAGCTGATTTTGATTCAGCACAAAAGAGAGTTTTAGTCTCCACAAGCACTGGCCAGTCTATGGAACTACCTCTTAAGTTATCCCATAGAGTCCATATTTCTCTTAATACCCTGTGTATCTTTACAATATACTTTCACTACTTCAGCTAGTAGGGATAAGTGATAGTTCCCTGCAAACAAAGAACACAACTAAAACAACAGCTATCATCACTTGGTAAATACAATAGTATTTGAGAATATATAAAATTATTAAATCATTTCTCAATGATCAAAAAACTATAGAACTTTATTTAGTTTGAATAAGTTCAAACTAGAATACTATATTCTACAAATATAAATAAGCATATACAAAAAAGAAATCCACTCTAGTATAGGTCTTGCTGTTATGTATCCAATTACTACTCACCCACTGTACTGTCAGTTATATCTATCAGTACTGGACTTGATCTTACACTTGACCCTCTCAAATGTCTCCCCTCCTTCACCCGAGAAAACCTAGGCCAACAATGCAGTGCTTGTAGGTCATGAAGCTCTGGAGAGAGACTGCCTGGGTTAGAATCATAACTCTACCACAAATCAGCTGTTTAGCCTTGTCTTTAACCCTCATTGACCCAAACTGCAAAAATTAGCAGAATGCTGTAACAGTATTTACCCGAGAGAGGCTATTACAAGAAGTAAATAAAATTATTTAGCACAGAGTATTCAATAAATAATAGTAATTATTATTATGACTAAGTTGCAATTAACACAAAAGATAGTGTATCAAAGGACATAAAAATATAACAAAGTTCCATTCACAATAGCAAAAAAACAAAACAACACAACCCTGAAGACACCACATGAAGACAACTATACTACTGGGAGAAAATTGTGAGACATACAATGTTTCTGAACTCAACCCCCACACCAATGACCTCCAAATTTATAATTTACTAGTTTAATGTAATTACAATAAAAAGTCCAGTGGTTGGAGGGTGTATGAGAATTTCGCTAGTTGATCCTACAGATTATCTATAATAAGGAAGAGGTAGAATATCCAAGATAATTTTAGAATAGTAGAAAAGATTCACACCATTAAACATATTCATTAAATGTATTATGAAGCAACAATGATTAAATCAGAACAGTGTATCTGCAAAAATAAACACATAAAAAAGAATGCAAGACCTAGAAAAAGGCCCTTGAATATGTGAAAAATTTGGTATAGGAAAATGAGAGATTTTAAATGAGAAAGTAAATAATAAGTTGACTGGGTTTTGGGGTTTTTTTTTTTACATTTTTATTGGAGATACTAAGTGTGTAGGTGTAAAGTTTAATGAAATTTTACATATATCTGTGTGACCACATCCAGATTAGAACCTTTCCAGCATCCCAGATGTTCTCATGTGTCCCTCTGCCAATCAATACCCCTCCACCCCAGCAAAGAAAACCATTCTTCTGACTTCTTTCACCATAAATCGTAAAAATGAAATTACACAGCAGATATTTTGTCTTTGACTCAATATTGCATTAATGAGATCCATCCACATTGTTATGTGTAGCAGTATTTCCTTCTTCGCATTGCTGTGTAGTAGTCAATTACATGAATATATCACAACTTATACTCCTGATGGAGAGATTTCCTGGATATTAGGAATCAAGGTAATACAGATATTCTCATAGAAGTCTTTTGTTGAACATAAGCACTCAATTTTGTAGAGGAAATACTCAGGAGCATCTACTGCCTCACAGAATTTCTGCATGTCCAGCTTCAGTAGACATTTTCCAAAGTGATTGTATGAACTGACATTACCACCCACAATGTATGAGACTTCTAATTGCACTATCGATAGCCTTATCAACACTAGGTCTTATGAGTCCTGTTAATTTAGCCATTCTGATCCAGGTGTAGTAGTTTTAATTTGCATTTCCCTTATGATTAATAATATTGAGAACCTTTTTATATGCAAATTGACCATCTGGATATCTTCTTTTTGAAGTGCTTCTTTAAACTTTTTGCCCATTTTTAATGGAAATGTCTTTTATTAACTTGTAGGGTACAAAGTTCTTCATCAGATAAATACACATAGGAGATACACACACACACACACACATATATAATTCTAGGTTTCACATATATATTAAACATCTTCTTTAATCTGTAGCTTGCATTTTCTTTCCCTTAATGGTATCTTGTTAAGAACCTAACATCCACCCTGGCCGGTTTGGCTCAGCAGTTAGAGCTTCGGCCTGCGGTATGGAGAGACCCGGGTTCGGTTCCCACTAAGGGCACGTACTTCAGTTGCAGTTTGTCCCCGGCCCTGGTTGGTCGTGCGGGTGGCAGCCACTCAATGTGTCCCTTTCACATCGATGTTTCTCTCTCTCTCTCTTCCTCTCTCTCCCTCCCACTCTATCTGTACAAAAAATGGAAAAATGTCCTCAGGTGAGGATACCAAAAAAAAAAAAAAGAACCTAACATCCAGTATTAATGAAACCCAATTTATAAGTCTTTTCCACTGTGCTTGGTGCTTTTTGTGTCCTGTTTAAGAAATCTTTGCCTACGCCAAATTCATGAAGACATTATCCCACATATTCTTCTAGACATTTTACTGTTTTAACTTACACATTTTGGTTTATAATCATCTCCAATTAATGTTTGTATATTGTGTGAGGTAGATAAAGGTACTTGTTTTCCATATGGATATTCAATTGACAAGTATCATTTACTGAGAGGACCAAGAGATCATTAATTTAAATAAGATATTACATTATACAGTAAATAAAAATATACTACTGTAAAAAAAAATGTCAAACAATACAAAAGTATATAGACTAAAACATGAAGATATTCCTTTATTACCATGTCCTTCATTCCTAACCCAAAAATCATAATCTCTTTTTGAAATCATGGTTAACATTTTCATATGAATCATTCTGTATTTCAAAAATTCGTTACATATATAACTGGCGTTTTCTTAAAAACACACTGAAACCTACCTTTATAAAACTGTTCTATTACTTGCTCTTTTCATTTAACATGTCTGTAAATATGGATCTACTTCACTTTCTTGTACCTGAATTGTATTATCTAGTAGTACTTCTCAAAACCAGTTTGTTTTTAATTTCCAAACCATTCGTGATTGTTTTACAAATTACAATACATTACTAAAAAGATTATCACATACAAAGTTATGACAATGTCACAATACTAAAAACTTTTTCAACTACTCTAGTTCTGTACTTATGGTGGATTACTATCAGTTTGCTAGGTGGCACTGTTACATAAATCACACTTTAAGAAGCACTGCTCTATAATATAAATATACCATGATCTAGCACCCTGTTATCATCTAGAATACATTCAATCTGAGACTCTGGCTTTCCTGGAAAAGTTTACTCCATTCACATTTGTTAGAACTGTTGTTTGTTTGTTTTTCTAACATCTTTTATGTTTCCTATTTGTTATACTCCTTTATGGTCTCTTGCCCACCTTTCTCCACTTTTCTCCCTGTTTTTCATTAAAATTACATTTTCTTTGCCCCCTTCCTTTGTTCTGTAATGCAGAGGTCAGCATACTACGGAACAAACCTATTTATCTTTGGTCCACAAGGTAAGGAGAGTATTTTGTAATATGAAAGTTAGGTGAAATTCAAATGTTATTGTTTATAGACAAAGCATGATTAAAACTCAGCCACACTCATGTGTCTGTGTATCACCTACGGTGGCTTCGGTGCTGCAGTGGCCGAGTAGAACAGGTGCAGAGACAGTACTGCCCACAAAGCCTGAACTAGTTCCTACCTAGCCCTTTACAGAAACAGCTGCCGACCCCTATTCTAGTGGTTTGGAAACTGATACCCTATTTTGTTCTTTTAATGGTCATTTTTAAAATGTTTTCATCTTTCCATTTTTGACAAACATTTGAACTGATATAATTCCATCAATATCGAGTTAATAAATAATTCTCCCCCCAAAAATATGCTTTCCTCTTATCCCTCTTCCAAGACTTATAGAATATCCAATAGTTCCCCCAAACTGCTGTTATAATTATTGCTATCACATTCCTTATGCTTCACAGAAACATTTTAATTAC